GTATGAGGAGAGATTAAAGAGGCTAGGACTCTTCAGCTTGGAAAAGAGGAGACTAAGGGGGGATATGATAGAGGTCTATAAAATCATGAGTGATGTGGAGAAAGTGGATAAGGAAAAGTTATTTACTTATTTCCATAATACAAGAACTAGGGGTCATCGAATGAAATGAATAGGCAGCAGGTTTAAAACAAATAAAAGGAAGTTCTTCTTCACGCAGCGCACAGTCAACTTGTGGAACTCCTTACCTGAGAAGGTTGTGAAGGCTAGGACTATAACAGAGTTTAAAAGAGAACTGGATAAATTCATGGCGGTTAAGTCCATTAATGGCTATTAGCCAGGACAGGTAAGGAATGGTGTCCCTAGCCTCTGTCTGTCAGAGGATGGAGATGGATGGCAGGAGAGAAATCACTTGATCATTGCCTGTTAAGTTCACTCCCCCTGGGGCACCTGGCATTGGCCACTGTCGGTAGACAGGATATTGGGCTAGATGGACCTTTGGTCTGACCCGGTACGGCCTTTCTTATGTTTATATGACATCAGCCCCTGAAGTCCTTTTCCACAACTCACCACCAGATGTCAGGGGAGAGCTCATTCTAACTCTGCTTACATGCGTATAGACATCAGAGATGTAGAGCAGGTTCCCACACAATTACCCCTCTTGTTGCTTCTATGATCCTATAGTTATTTTCTTTTCCCCCTCCCCCAACATTTAACTTTCTTTTAAGGTCACCAGGGGGATTCTATCACCTGCCCCTGTAGACCTAGTTTCAAGCCCTCCTCACTAGGTTGACAAATCGGTGTGTGGTGTCCCTTCATCCTCTACTATAGTCCAGTGTCCCCAACCTCCCCTCTGCTCCGAGCCTCACCAGTGTCCCCATGACACCCAGTGCGGCCCCACCTCACCCCATAGTCCCTTGTGTACTCTGACTTGTCCCCCTTGCGACCCCTCCCATCAGGTTCCCCAGTGCCCCTGCACAGAAGATAGGAGGTGACCATCTTCCATGAGGGCATCCCAGCTCCTGACCTCTTGGGAGGGGAGACAGTGGTAATTTTTACTAGGACAGCCTCACGGCCACAGACAAAGTGGGCGAGGGAGTGGCAGCTGTTTTAACTGAGTGGCTTCAACCCCATTGAATGTAATAGGAGATAGTGGCCATTCTGAGAGAAGTCAAAAGTTCACAGGATTTTTGAGATCTGGAGAAGCTGGAAAGACAACAACTGACATCTCTGCTTCCATTCTCTTCTCCAAAACAGCCTCTCCCGGCAATGGCCTCTCTCCCCATCCCATCTCCTCTCTCAGATCAGGAATAGGAGCCAGCCACTGTCGCTGTGGCTGGAAGTACTTCCGACACTATTGTTACAAGTTCTTCCCCCAAAGGATGACCTGGTCAGACGCTAAGGTATGAGGTTCTTCTCAGGGATCCGTGGGGTGAGGCGGGTTAGTTGGCAGGGGCAGGGACTGAAGGGGTTTGGTGACATCACCATTGGCCCCTGGGTGTATCCCTGCAGAGGTGACGTGGCTGGTGCCAGGCACTCGGGCTTGGGAAGAGGCACAGACAGGAGGCTCTCTCCCCTCACAGCTGTCCCTTCTCCTGCTGTAGCCTGGCGGGGCAGGACCCCACGCCAGTGCCAAACAGCGTCCTCCTGCAGGGGGAGTAACTGACTCTGCTGATGTCCCTGCTGCAGTGTCAGTGTCGCCGGAATGGGGCCCGTCTCGTCTCCATTCTCTCTGCGTCAGAAGGGAACATGGTGGCCAGACACATCATCCCGCCATGCACCAATGATGCTGTGTGGATCGGACTCCATGACCCCAACCACGTGAGTGCCTGGAGCCTGCTTTGCCCCCAGCAGTTGCTCCCCCCGGCCATGACTCTGTTTCCCAGGGGCTGTGCAGAGACCATTTCCCATGACCCCTTCATAGGGGCTGCCAGGATCTCCCTCCTCCTCTCCTAAACCCCTTCTCCCTGTCCTGGGCACCAGGGTCTCCCATCTGCACTCCACCCTCCCGCACCCTTTCCGTCTCCATCCTACCCTAAGCTCCGACTCCCCTTTGGCTTTTCCCTTCTAAATACAACCAGGCCTGGGTCTCCTTGGTCATCAAACTGAACTTGGACCTGCACCTGCCTCTCCAACTACTGCCCCATTTTCTTTCCCCCGACCCAGCTCATGCAATGTGCCATGCCCTCCACGTACACCCCACATCCCATCTCCACTCCACCCTCTCCAAGTTTTCTAGTATCAGAGGGGTAGCCGTGTTAGTCTGAATCTGTAAAAAGCAACAGAGGGTCCTGTGGCACCTTTGAGACTAACAAAAGTACTGGGAGCATAAGCTTTCGTGGGTAAGAACCTCACTTCTTCAGATGCC